TCTAGTATTCAACTAAATGATATGATATTTAGCATATCAAGTAAAACAAAGTGCTTCTACGGCTACATGATAGTGGCTATCATTTTGTATCCATGGTACACAGTGACTTAGTGACTTTCATGTGTTATCCGATCATAAAAGTTTTGGAGACAAGTTTCTGTCGGTGGCTTGGGTATTGCTGAAGAACATAAATCAGGATCTGGGCATTGAGCTAAGAATTAGCATTAAAATATATAAAAAATATGGTAATTTTATGGTCCTTCAGTGGTGTTTAAACTAGTTAAGGATGGGGGTTAGGCATATTCTTTAATAAAAGTTTGTCAAAAACTACAATTGCACTTTTATAATTCAAATTTAATGAATAGATTTAAAACTGTTTAGTTTACATACCTCCCACCAAATTCGTTTTGTTTCCAGTTGCCTCTTCCACGAGCTTGGCTTCTTCCACGTGGACGTCTCTGACCAGCATCAGAACGCAGGTCCATAAGACTGCCCAATCTGCCTTCTCTAGAAGAACCTCTTCCACTGGCGCTGAAGTTCAGGGCATCAAGGCTGCCAAGACGGCCAGAGGGCATTTCATACATGCCATTCTGATGGCTGCTGGACACTCCATACCCATTATTCTGATGGCTGCTGGGCACACCATACCTAATATTCTGGTGACTGCTGGGCACACCATACGCAATATTCTGATGGCTGTTGGGCACACCATACCCAATATTCTGTTGACTGCTGGGCACACCATAGCCATCGTCACTGTAGTTGCGTACAGCATTGCTAGAACCTCTGTAGTTTGTATGGCCACCTCCACGGTTTCCATGATTCCTCCCTCGACTGTAATACAATGCATTTGCTGCACATTTTTTTACAATAATACGTAAAATACAAGAGTTACTTAGTACAGAGTTATCCTAAATGATGGACCCAATTTAATAAATTTGTAATTATTTATGTATAAATTTAAAATGAATAATTTATGCACTGACAGCAAGAGAAAGGTTCAATTTTTTTTCAACCTATTCAGACTCCAAATTAATCGACATCCAAAACTTTTTGGAACAGTCACCTCCTGGGAAATGATGAGTCACACATGGGAAATGATGATCTGGCTCTACACTTCTAAGATATCAGAATTCAGAACTCAAAGCAAAATGTAGGCAAAATTTTTACTTAAAAGTTAATAAAATTTTGAACCTTGCCTCAACATTACTCTTACATAAAAAAGTTGCATTGTATTGCACATGTGATGCTAGTTGCTAGTTAGCTAGTGTTCAAAGTTCTGTTAACAGATTAGATCAACTTCAGGGTACCACTACACATAATACAAGCATTACTGTGTGATTTAGATTAGGTGAGGTGTGCAAATTAATTCATTTTGGTTTTCATCAACAAAAGGACCCACTTTAACTTCAGTGATAAATCAAGGGAACTCAGGATAGAATAATAAAACTTATCATTTGAAGAATTCAAATGATAAACTTTTCAAACAAAAAGTAAAGCAATAACAAATTAAAATTCTAACAGGAATTTTGAGACTTATAGTCTTAGTATGAGAGTATAATTTGTAACATTTAAATTAAGTTTTTATTGATCTTGAGATGAATCAAGATAAAAAGTTCAATCAAGAATTTCATAACTAATCAAGATGATTTAAATTAGCCGAGATGAGAATTTCATGGTTTGGTAAAACATAATTAATGGATGCTTTTATAAACTTTTATTAAATTATTAAGGTTAAGTGAGTAAAGTGAGTCTGGCAAGTGAGTAAAATGTTAAGGTATGGTTATGGTGATGGACATAAAGCCAAACAAGTAAAATCTATTATTGGCCTATATAGGAAAAATACTGGAAATAAAGTATGGTATCATTTTTAACAATAAATTACACATTAGTACTGCAAGAAATTTCATGAAAATGCACTTCTTCGTGTGCACCATCTTATAAAGTCTATTAAAGAAATTTGGCTTTATTATTACACATGTTTTCACACCAACACTCAATTGGCTTGCACAAGATGGACATATAAAGAACAGAAAAATTGAACACTAGAAATACTTCCAGCTGTACACAAATATTATTTCAAAAGAACTAACCCAAAAGCAGGTGCCTTGGTTGGAGCATTATTGAAGCTTCCACGAGTTTTAGGTCTTGCCCCAAGCAGTGGAGCTCTGGGGCCTCTGCCCTGATATTTTCCTCTTGACCTTGAAGCAGCAGGTCTACTGATAGGCACATCATCATCTGCAATGTCAAAAATTTCAACTGCATAAGTCATCATGATCAATTTGGTAACCATTATTGAAAAATATAGGTAAATTATACATTAATTGTTATGCATGATTTATAATATCATTAAGGATATCCATAGACAAACTGTTAATGATAACCAGTTCACAGTTTGCCAAAGGAAATATGAATATCATTGTTCACTGATGTTGCTGAGTAAAGCCAATGGCATCAGTAGTTTAGAAATTACACAATATCTGCTATGTAGATTTTCCTTATTTTGGTTATAGATAGCATTTAAATCTTGAAAGGGTGATGTATCTACTGAGTTGTTCTTCTAGCAATAAAATTTGTATATACATTTATCAAGAAAAGGCAATAACAACACATTAACTGCTGCTGATAATTCATCATCACTACTCAAGCCTTCCCATTGATTAAACCATTCCATTCTCAGGTGCTGCATTCAGTTTTATTCTAAATCAGAGCAAACATTTTGTTTATCAACAATAAAAATATTACCAAATTGTTGAAACAAAGAAATTGCCTGGATCACTCACAAATCTTGTAATCCTCCAAGTATTTACATTTAACGAAGATTAAACTTAATGAAAATTAGAATAGTAGAAATACATGTTAAATTATCCTCATTTTTGTCAGAAGCCACTTTACCAATTTGGCTATGATTAGCAAGGCAATCATAGGCAAAAACAAACAAGTAGCAATCAACATTTCTTCTTCATGATAGCATACCTTCAGCAGTTCAGCTTCAAACAGGGTGATAATCTGGTAGTGGCTGTTGTTGCTCTACCAGTAACTCTGTTTTTGTCCCGACTCTACCCTTTTTTTTGACAACTTCTTACTACAAAACATTTCATAAACTAGTTTGAGCTCACTTTAAAGGTCTTTACAAGGGTAATTGTATGGCATCTCCAATAAAACACCTTATGCTATTCGTATGGTGCCAGACACAAAAGAAGAGCATCCCAAATTACCCCCGGGAACTAGGCAATTGAGGACACTTGAACTTAATTTTAAAACATTTGAAGCATGCAGAATGTGCATGCTCAATCATTACTACCTAACAGTCAAACAGTACTAGAAAGTCTACCTCTTAATTTGTAGATGATTCAGATATAGAATAAATGACATTTTCTGTGATTTGCATTTGTTTTTTGTTACTGATATTACCATATCCATTTTTCATCAACAAAAACTATTTTGCCTGTCCTATACCTAACACTTTACCTCCCCCCCCAAAAAAAAAAATTCCACGCCCTTGACAATGACCTTGTCTACTACAAGCTTCACATCATCAGTTGTAAAGACTAAAGCCTTTCGTCAGTAAGCTTACAAGGCTGGGTGTGTAATTTCTTACCATTTTAGTTGTTGTTTCAAGTGAATTAATTTACTGTAAGAAAAAAGCTCATTAAAAATTATACCTGAAACAGAAGGAAATATTTTAGCAACAACCATCATATTTTCTTCAGAAATAAATCTTACTTCATGTTAATTACTTTTCATTCTATGTTGCCCAGTCAGTGAGCAATTCTTTTGATGACATCTTATGTACAATTTATTGATGATTGGTGTTGATGCATTGAATTTTCATTCAGTGAAATTTTTTGCTGAGAAAGGTAAGAGTAAACTTAAAATTCTTGTTGTTAACCTATTTTTTTGGTTAACCAGAGCCTTTGCTAACCAATGTTCTATTGTATATGCATTTTTAGGGGTGTCCCTTATTACCCCGGGGCCGGGGCCCGGGCCCGGGCTGCCTACCCTGTTGCCTGTTTGACGGCAGGCCTATAATATTGATAGTAAGCCCTATTAGCCAATGGCAAAAATCATTAGCCTGGTAACTAACAGTCGAACACATACTGACCTGTCACCTGTGACCATGAGTCAGGCTGTCAGCGTGATGCTACCGGCTCCGGCTACATACAAAATTTGTCCATTTAAAATTAGTATGTTGTGCAAAACTTTTTGAGGCAGCCTCAGAGGCTCAGACAGGATAGATTTCATTTTTAGACCTAAATCCTAATATTAGCTATTTAGCTTAAACTTTCCTCACCTGAATCATTCATTTTAAATATTTTGTGTGACGGTCCAGCTTCACAGGCGCTCCAATAATATCCTTGTCCCCACACCAAACATCCCTGTCTCTTGCTTCTACTCCAAGAGACCGTGGCATGAGTCAAAATCTACTCGAAATCGGCAAGTCCCAAGACCGTGTCTCCAGTCCAGTGAGTCCACCAGGCATGAATTGGGGAATAACCAACGTAAAAAAACACCATCAAAGTCAGTATTAAGAGCTTAAAGGTATAAGAATAGAATTGTTCGGTAATTTTTGAAGATCTGTACTTCACTCTAAACTGCGATTCCTCCCCAAGACTAAGATCGTTGATCTACAAATGACACAAACCTGAAACCACAGATACCTCTGAAGATTGCCAATGCACTAATGCCGTAGCACAGCACAGTCATGACTCATGACACCGACGCATCCAGATGCTGTTCGTTCAAACTCGTATCAAACGCGTTAGAACGAAGAATCCTATATGAATGAAATTGTGTTTCGTATGGAGCTTACTGTATTTTATTCAATGCAAAATTATTGACGAGCGAAAACTAATTTTTATTGGAACAAATCTCATTATTTTTCTTGATTTTGAGAATTCACTATAATTAGTAGTAGGCAGGGTGGCCCAGTGGTTAAAGTTCAGAGTACCAAGATTGGCGCAGAGAAGCGCGGGTTCGATCCCAGCTCTGTGCGCCAGTTTCTGGTCAGAATCGGCAAGGAGGCCGGGCGGTTAAGCACAGCAGAATTGTAGCAGTGAGTTGNTTCAAGACCGCAAAATGCTGTGAATGTTCTGCGATGTTAAGAATCGGCGACAGGCCTACGGCCTAATAACGCTGAAACCGCTATTATTATTATTATTATTAATTAAATTTTATACACGTACAATCAGCAAATTTTCTGGTATAAAATGAATCCCTAAGCTTGAAGCCACACTTTTTTAGCGCATTTTCTCATTTATGGAAAAAATGCACTATTGTACTCGCGGGTGCGCAGCCGTAGATCAGCAAATTAACGCTCAATCAGCCCTGGAGCCAACATCAACCATCTAAATGCTATAGATATTGTCATCCTGGCACCTAAGCAGCAGTAGTCAATTGAACTATCTCACCACACGAACTTTAAACCAACACTGCTTCAGCACACAAGCTGCTACTCCACATAGTTAACGGTCAATACGTTGTTCTCCAATGCTCAATCGACAATTCTACGGACCCGCCTGCGGACTCGCGCAACTGGGCCACTCATAACTCCTTAAATACTTAACGGATCGGTATGAATTTTGGAATATGAGTATTAATTATCGATACGCTGCCGCAGGAATTATTACAGATTTTTACATGAATTATTTTTTAATTAAAACCAATAAACGTATTTTTTAAGCAACTGGGCCACTCATAATTCCTTCAATACTTAACGGATCTGCATGAATCTTGGAATGTGAGTAGTAATTATCAATACGCTGCCGCAGGAATTATTACAGATTTTTACATGAATTATTTTTTAATTAGAAGCAATAAACGCATTTTTTATGCAACTGGGCCACTCATAATTCCTACAATACTTAACGGATCTGTGTGAATTTTGGAATGTGAGTATTAATTATTGATACGCTGCCGCAGGAATTATTACAGATTTTTACATGACTCATTATTAGGTTAGGTTAGGTTAGGTTCGGTCAAGTTAAGTTAGGTTAGGAAATAATTCATGCAAAAATCTGTAATAATTCCTGCGGCAGCGTATCGATAATTAATACTCACATTACAAAATTCATGCAGATCCGTTAAGTATTGAAGGAATAATGAGTGGGTGGCCCAGTTGCTTAAAAAATACGTTTATTGGTTTAATTAAACAATAATTCATGTAAAAATCTGTAAAAATTCCTGCGGCAGCGTATCGATAATTAATACTCATATTCCAAAATTCATACAGATCCGTTAAGTATTTAAGGAATTATGAGTGGCCCAGTTGCGCGAGTCCGTAGAATTGTCGATTGAGTAATGCTTTATAAACCATACCATGACTTCTTTCACATGCTGTTATCCTAAGTGTCCGCTGACCACACTGCATTGCCGCAAATGTGAACTGTACCAAACGGTAATGCGTCATCACCTTACTCCGCAAGACGTGAACCCCGCGTCACTGTTTCCCTGCCTTACTATCCCCCAGCATCTTCTTCCCCCACACTTACCCCGACTCTCCACCATTATCGCATGGCTTACTGGAGGCTTTTCCCGCAGACCTTTGATGCTTATCCGAATTAGGTTAGGTTAGGTTACAACTCGTATAGATCCTCTTTTCATAGCGTAATGCAGTCTAGTGAGCAGAAACTAAGAAAAGCTGTCCGGCAGTCGGTGAAAAAAGGCGGGGAGACGGGGTAAGCGTGGAGGTAGAGTTATGCTGGGGGAAAACAGCTGCGACGAACGGACGGCTGGAGTGCTGGCTGTGTATCAACAGCGGTATGGCGTAGGGAGTTGCTTACCGAAAATCGTGAGGAGGTTAGACGGCATGGGATAGAGCTGTGGGCGGTTTTAAATACGGCGTAGAGCGATTGTATTGGTGGCTTACTTCTCATTAGCTCGCTGGTTAATTTAAATGAAGGGGATTTGTACCTTTGGCTTTTAACATATAATCCCTTAGTCTGCTCTGCCTTTAGCAGGCTTACGCACAAACGGAGGATGAAAAATATGCTGGTCTTGGGCAATGCTGGCCTCTGGCATGCATCCCGTACTCGCCATGTCTGTCTGTCCGTCCGTCCGTCCGTGACCTCAAGTTTTCGTCGACGAGAAAATGCGTTCTTTGTCACTCACTGCAGTGAGTACCGAGTTATATATTTTTTATTGGCAACACAGTTTGTTGCTTGTGCCAATTGAATGAACCTCATTTTAGATTGCCAAGACGGGTAGTTTTCGGGTTATTTCTTCATTTAGTATATCTAAACATGGCAGATATTTGCCACAACAAACATTAATTGAGATTTACACATCTAAAAGCTTCATTATATTGACAATTGCCTAATGCTTTGAAAAATAAAGGTGAAAGATTAACAATTAAATATCTTTCTCTGGTTCTAAAATGAGCTCAGAATGTCGTGTCTCAAGTAAACAAACCAGTTACTCTGCCTTGCAATTAGAAAGACCACATTGACCAGTCGAGAGTTCAATTACTGTTATGATATTGTTGTCCTTGTTCATGTATCTACGACTGAAAAATGCATTGCAATTAATGAATTGCTCACTAAATTCACCAAGTTCACTCTATATATGAGGAGTGATGTCTTACACCTCACAGTCGGTCATTACTATCTCACAAGTGATCGACAACAGCTTATTCCAACAAGTTTGTACGAGACGGACACTTAGTTGGCGTTTGTTATCGAACTCAACAAGGTAAAATGCGTAGTATATGTATGCCAACGAAAATACTTATATGATATAATACTTCCAGAACTAATGTGGAATAACAGTGGCACAGTTTAGATCATTTAATAAAGTATCCTTTGTGACAAACGACATTGCTAATGATATAATACTTCATTACCACTAAGCGAAGATGAAGCTAATGTTAAATCCGATTCACGAGACTTCTTAGTAGAATATCGATCTAAAGGGAAATCTGCAGCTGCAGTATCACATGCAGCATATCACAATTAATCATTAGGAAAAATAAGCCAAACGTAGTACCGGGATATTACCAACACAAAGATATAATCATGAACTGTCGCGGGAAAAACTGGCATATTATTAAAGTTGAAAAATTTCAAAAGCCTTAGCCTTGCATGGCATTCGATTCTACCAAAAGAAGGAGTAAGAATCAAAATCATGAAACGAGATACCTTCCGCGTGCAGACCAAGAGAAAAATTGGAAAATTGTATGAACAACATCGTTGGATAATTGCACTGCGACTCCGATGAAAGGGAAGAAGCAAGAAAACAAGGCCTCCAAGATCCCCCAACATCAACGTATGGAACAAAAAGTCACTATCGAGCCCATTGAGGAGTTAAAGTTCAAATATTTTTGTACAAGAAAGCTTCAAGAATATCACTGCGGCCAGGCATGGGCGGTCGCTCCATCCATTTCAGACGCCACGCTGTTGTCAGGGCGAAGACGATGACTACCTCCGCCAATAATAGCGCCACAATCAGGACACACGCCTGTCTCCATTGCGCCACCACACTCGGTAATGCAGTAAATGTGCCCATTGGGGCACTTGTACCACGCACCCTTCGTGACGTTATACATTGCCTTCAAAACTAGAAGTCTCTCTTCGTTTGAGATGCCCAGGCCACCAATGAAAGTCTCACAAATCTTTAGAAGCGCTTTCACGTCTCTTTCCACTTGCGTTGTGAAGACGCGGGTTGGCTCCATGAGTGCGTCGATTTCTCGCACAGTCTCCAAGAACCGATCGTTGTGACCACGAGTTCGGACGCTCTTCATGATCGATACGTAGCGAATGCGCTGAAGTTCGCAGTGCACCTCCTCCATGAACTGACTCACCACGCTTACATTCTGCCATGGAGAAGTCATCGTCAGGAAACGCAAGTAAAACTTGAAATTTTTTTTCGAATAAAATAGGACTTGCTTTGTTCGAGCACAGAAAAAATGAACATGAAATACAATTTCTAATGATTGAAAGTTCCGGTGTGCGATGATCAAATCGCAGCGTTTCAAGAAGTAAGTAAATTAGACAGTTCTGAATACTTCCAGGAAAGAAGACAAAACCATACATATCAGAGTGAACGCTTTAGCTTCCATTTCGTGGTCGAAATAATTATATAAATTTTTCTTCTTCCAACGTCGGGTTACGAACGCAACTAAAAACCTTGCGCGAACAAACAAAACTAAATTTTAGTTTTACAAAAATAATGACAAAATATTTACTTACTAATTAAACGTCCTACATGAATTCAATTAACAAGACCGCATTGCACAGCGTTGGTCGCTGAGTTATCTTCTGGATGAAAATTACATTCATGTAGTAAACATTCCGAAACAACGGAGCCACGCTACTACGATGATACTTTGATAAATTAACATTTAAACCCGGAACCATAAATGGTAAAACACAAACTTCTCACCACGAATTAAACTTAATATTTGCGAGTCGCTCTAAACAAGCACGTAATTTCGCATACAAAGAAAAGGGGATTCGGTTCGAACACACTGCAATGACGTTTAATTCATATCAGAAGCACGGTTATTGGATCCGTCAAGCTGCCTGTCATGTCCACATTGACGGTACCATAGCTTAGTTTACACCTCGCGCTCATTCCATTTCAGTAGCAAGAGTATTGGATCCGTGCAGCTGCAAGTGATGTCCACATTGACGGCATCACGGTTTAGTTTACACCTCGCGCTCACTCCATTTCAGTAGCAAGATTATTGGATCCGTGCAGCTGCAAGTGATGCCCACATTGACGGCACCATAGCAAAGTTTACACATCGCGCTCATTCCATTCCAGTAGCAAGGGTATTTGCCGATGGCGTAGACGTGACCGCGAGGACACTTGTACCAGTGGCCAGATCCAGCAAAATTGAGGGCTTGCTTTATTTGCATTCGTTCCTGCGGTGATATCCCCAGTCCTGAGCAGTATTTCTGACACTCCTTCAACAGCTCCTGTACTTGGTCGTCCATTTGCTTGGTAAAGACGTCGCGCGGCGCCATGAGACGAGCAATGCGCGTCAATGCCACTGCAGCTTCTGGAGATCCCCTCGTTCTGGCAGTGATTTTGAAGACCGCGTTGGAGGTGGCAATGCGTGATAACTCGCACGCTGCTTCGTTCGAAAACTGATCCGACACACAAACTCCCTACGGGAATGAAAAGATCATTTCCTAAGGGAAGCACTACGCAAACAAAGCTATGTTTCTACACACCAGAAAAACGTAGAATTTACGTTCAATAGAGAAAGACAGCAACTGATAACCACTGACACGGTAACGATGACTAATTACTACTCATGAGAAGACATATGAAATTACATACCAACGCAATTTGTGGCACTGACATATAAGCGTGTCAGCCACTGACTCGCTCCATAATACTGCTCATGATGGAGCGAGTCATACTGCTTCATCACGCTGAATCGCCGGCACATCTCCTGACTCCCACCCACCTGACTCATGACTCGCTCCATCACACTGCACCGCCGTCACGTCTATTGGCCCTCACTCACTGACTCATGACTCGCTCCATCACACTGCACCGCCGGCACGTCTATTGACCCTCACTCACCTGACTCATGACTCGCTCCATCACACTGCACCGCCGGCACGTCTACTGACCCTCACTCACCTGACTCATGACTCGTTCCATCACACTGCACCGCCGTCACGTCTACTGACCCTCACTCACCTGACTCATGACTTGCTCCATAACGCGCTCCAGGTCTTTTCTATGCGACCTGTCAAGCTCATCGTGGATCTTCTTGGCCATGATGACCACATCCGCTTGGAAATTCAACAGATGTAGCTGTGCAGCATCCAACTTGAATTCTTTCGGGCGAGCTTTCGGCTGGAATTAAAAAGTTTGAAAATCTTTTTCTAATTCAAAAATACACCTCAAGAGATTTCACGCGCAAGGGCTGCATTGACCATATTTTTCCAACAATAGCTCGTAAAATTTGAAACATTCAAATCTAATTTTAAGGAATTTAGAAAAATGGATTAAATTCGTACGGCGCTTCCAATTGCTGAAAACCAATAAAAAAACGTACTCCCTTGAGTTTAGAAGATTGCAGCGCGTTCATGTAGTTGAAGATGGTCTTGCGCATTTGACTCTTGGTGATGCAATCCAGGAAAAACAGGGAATTGTCCAGTTCAAGACCAGGCCGTCCCGCGTCATTGACCATGTTTTCTGCTGCAGAGAAAATGCACCGATAATGAACGTGAAAGGTGAGTAAAAATTTTTTGCAATTAATTAAAAATATGACATCATTTCTGGTATACTAGTAGCATGCTTTGTTGTGAGACCAGAAACATGACAGCAATTTACTCGAAAAGTACCACACGTACGAAATGAAAAACAGTGAAAACTAGATATGGTTGAATCACTTGGGTATCGTTATGAAGTGTTTGACTAACTTGAGAATTTGTCCACGATCTGTTTCAAGGTAGGAACTTGCTGGCCCCTATGTTTGAAGAGCACAGTTTGCACATCCTTATAAGTCTCGAGGATGAGAGCGTTGAAACGACGGTTGTTGTAGATGGGCGTCTTGCAACGCGGGCATTGCTTCATCTGTACGCTATTGTCGGCCTTGTGCTTGAGCCAGCCAGAGAGGCCATCGTGTTCAATGGTGTGACCACAGTCTTGCAGCAGCACGAACCTGACACGAGATCATCATTACGTAGGGTGATGAACACGTTAAGTAAATACTTATAATCATTGCGGAAAATAGTATAGTAGCAGCCTAAATTCTAGGAGCAGCACGAACCTGATACGAGATCATCATTACGTAGGGTGACGAACAGGTCAATAATTAAAGACTACTCATTATGAATAATCATATAATTGCAGCCCACTGTCTCTTAGCTGCACGGACATGACAGATCATCTTTACGTAGGGTGAAGAGCAGGATCTCATGTAAAGACTAATAATAATTATGGACAATAGCACATTGCAGCCCCTAGCCTATTAGCAATACGAACCTAGCATTAGATCATCATAACTTAGGGTGAAGAACAGGAACTTAAGTAAGCACTCATAATCCAAGCGGGCAATAGTGTGAGTAAACTGGTATTAGGAAGATTTATGATACTTTCGCATTCATACTTAAACGATGAACGAGGGGAGAGTCAATTCTACTGTGATATAACCTGCAGCTGAAAAACGAAGAATCAAAACCTCACGAGATCATCCGTTATGATGAAAAATTTAGCTCGTAGCAAGAAAAACTGCTAGCAACGTTTCACTAACCGGGAGTCTGGATCCTTTTCGTTGCAGACGAGTTCGAATTCCGTAAGCTTGTCGAAGTTACATTCGCGGCACAGCGGAGGGCAGGGGTCTCCACAGAGACCCACGCAAGGGTGGCCACATTTGAGTGTTTTGGGACACGGTTCCTCGCAGGGCTTCTGGTCGCAGGCCTCACCGCACTTCTTCGAGCACCGCACCGCCTGGTGCTCGCACTTGCTGCTGCAGGGCTCCTGTGGGCAGAGCAATCAATACAAAGCCAAACCCAACGCATTCTAAGAAAATCGCAGCAAGATTCATCAAGAATTTCTTAGTCACATTACTACACGGCCCTTATATGTTATGGGCTTCTCGTGTAAAATGGGAGAAATCGACAGAGGTAGGACACTGTCTGTCGCCGAAATTTCAAACAACTGCTATTTCTCAGTTTTTAGAGTTAACAATGGCATGAAAAATCTTGTTTAATTAGAACTTAGGTCTGTGAGGTGTTGTCGAGAATGTCATTCATTTTTTGTTAGTGGGCTGCAGAGAAAAGACTGGCTTAGACCTTGAGCAAACTCGTAGCCTCACTACGAAAGTAAAATCCGTTGCAGTCTTGATTTGAGATTCGTTACAATTAATTTATTCATTATTTCAATACCTATTTATGTCAAGATAACATCCGATGTTTCATCTGATGCATCCTGGTATTTGAGAATAAAGTATAAAATACCAAGGAGCATCATAAAGAAAAAGACTCCTTCATGCACGCGTATTCAATAATATGCTCCTGCAATAAATGCAAAAAATAGCGCTTCTGAAAAATTAGCAGTCCTCAATAACTACTTGATGCGTTGGTTGACTGAAAAAAAAAAAACAAAATAAGTTGCACATTACCTGGCACGGAGTGCAAGGAGCGCCACAAATTTTATCGCAGCGGCTGTGGGAGCATTTCCAGCGACACTTCTCCTGGCAAGGCGGACATGCGGCGCTGCAGGGCGACTTGCACCTGCGAACATACCAACACTTGATGAATATCGCAGTGATGTGCAGAGAACGTAGAATCAAATTAATAGTTTAAACTAATCAATAAGTGGCGACTTACACCTGCAAACATAGCAACACTTGATGAA